TATATATATATATATATATATATATATATATATATATATATATATTCCCTGCTTAGGGTTTTCCTTAACAATTTTCAGAAAATCCAATTTTTTTATGAATATGATGTAATTATTTTTGTTAGCTATGGTTATGATTTTATTGCTAATTAGTTTCATTAGGTAGAGTTCAAAGTTTATTGTTTCTTTTTTTTTTCCCTTTAATATTTACTGCATTTTACCATGTGAATGACTCAGTAGTACTCAAGATAGGAACTCAACTCTCAGTATTCTAACCTTTTTGGATAAGTTGGCCAAAGTACGTTACAAGTTCATCATATTTTTTCACAAATCAACTCACTTTATTTTTAATATTTGTCTCCAAGTCCTTTTGCTAGCTCATTGTTGCAGACCTGGTCGACCTGATCTGAGTCAGCTGGGAATCCAGTGGATGACGAGTTTGGCCACTCGATCTGATTTTGAAACACTGATTCCATGACACAAAAATAGCATGCTTTTGTTAAGAAGGGGGGGGGGGGGGGCGGGCCAAATAACATATAGTATATTATGTGCACATGAGTTATTAGTTCAAGGAAAGCTGAGAACAAAGCCGGGATGACTTGCAAAGTTGACTTGGAGAAAAACTATGATAAGGAAGATTAGAGAATTTTGATGAAAATAATGGAGGTAAAAGGATTTGGTGGCTCGCAGTGGAAATGGATATGGGGATGCCTATTTTCTGCTAATATTTTTTCTATGGTAATTAATGGAAAGCCAAAAGGTTTCTTTAAGACATTAAAAGGGGCGGGACAAAGGGATCATCTATTCCCTTTCTGTTTAAATTATTGACGAGGCTGAGTTTAAAGTTGTGGTAAGGGGAAAGAGCGTGTTTCATCTGCCATGCGTTAAAACTAAGGAGGATGAGAGACCGGAGTTCACAATCCTACAATGCATAAAACATCAATCATAAAGATGGAGGTAAAGGGGTGATCCATCTCCTACAATGCATAAAACATCAATCATAAAGATGGAGGTAAAGGGGTGATCCATCTCCTACAATGCATAAAACATCAATCATAAACATGGAGGTAAAGGGGTGATCAATCTAAAAATTTAAAATAGCCCAAGAATTTTCTCCAAAAAATTATCATTTTTTAGTTTTTAAAATTTAGGAAAAATTGCAGACCCCACCCCAAAATGGACTAAATGAACTTTTTACGCACTTCACCCACCCAACTTTTCCCAACAACTTCCCAAAAAAACTCATGTTTTTTAGCAAATACCCCTTACACAAAAACTAATTCTTAATCATGTTTCGAAGCAAATACCCCTCACACAAAAAGTTTTTTTATATAACAAATCATTTTCGGATCCCAATAAATTTATGTAAAATCATTTTCGGATCCCAATAAAAGGAAACGCCAGACCGCACTTGTACAATGCCGGTCTACTCACTTCAAAACGTCATACAACTACTTCAAAATGCTGGACTGCCCATTCAAAATGTCGGATTGTCCCTTCAAATGTCGAAACCGCTATATCAAAACGCCGAACTGCCCCTTCAAAATACCGGACCAAGACTTCAAAACATCGGATCGCCCATTCCAGCAAAAACTAATCATCAGACTACCACCATGAAACGCCGGACCGGCCATTCCAACAAAAATAATCACCGGACAGCCGGTCCAACAAAAATAATCATCAGACAGCGTGTCAAAAATGCCGGACTGCCCTTTCCAACAAAAATAATTTGTTATGTGATGGAAGGGCATTTTAGTCCAAAAAAAATGAACTTTCGTATAGAAGTATTAGCTAGGTAAGGTTGAGTGGGGTAAAATGCGTAAAAAATCCATTTTGAGGGGGTTTTTGTAATTCCCTGCAATTTCTCTATTTTTACATATGCTAAAGATTTTACATTCCTAAAAATTTGATCTAAAATCCATCTCAAAAATGGATTATGAAGAAGGGACACGTCTACATTTGATGAAAATCTTGTCCAAAGTAAAAAGACTGCTGATGTGTTCCAAATTTAAGGCTAACATTATCAGAAAAAAGAAAAAAAATTTAAAAACTTCAATGAACAAAACTCTCAACAAAATGCAACAAATAAAAAAAAGAAGAAATTCCGTAGAAACAATGGCCACAATTTTGGTGTCCTTCAGAACAACACAAAATAGGTCAATCCATTTTCACGGCAGTTAGGACAGGATATTGACTATATATATATATTCCTTAGTGTAAAATGTCATGGACAACCATATTAAAAAAAATTCCAAAACAGTGTTAGTCAGTGTACATCAGTTCAAGCTAGATTCTAAGTGGTAGCTTTCTTCCTTTTAAAATGTAAATGCATGAGAATTTCAGATTTTGTAATCTAATTATATTTAGAAGCATAAGTTTTTTGGACAAAACCTGGTCAATCTGGGTTCAGCAATAAAAGCCATAAACCAAAAACAGCTAAGGAGGCATACAACCCAAAGACTCCATAATTCAAACACCCAATCCCTAAGAAGCCCTCCTAAGCGTCCCTCATTTACAACCTTTCAATCAATTCAAACTCCATGATATCCATGATTTCACCTCTTCGTAAGAGCCCCGCTTTTGCGACAAATCTTCAAGAGCAATCCATAGTGGTCACTAGGCAAAACAGGAAGTGTTATTTTTTGCATCTGTTTCCTCACCTTCTTCTCCTTGAAATAGGAAATCCCAGGTATAGCCTTTGTTCCAATCATATCAATACTACTCAGTTTAAAATCACGCATGTTACATACAAACCTATCCAACCGTTTCTGCAAAGCTCGGTTCTCCGAAAGCATCTGGTTGGCCTTGGTGTCATATGTCCATCCATTCTCTCTAGGTCTAAGCTCAGTCCAAGCATCAATCCAGTCATTGGATAGAGGAAACTCACCATCTATTTTCTCGTCCCAATTCATATCTCCAGCAAATATTACGTTCGGGTGATCCTTCAGGAGCTGAAGGCTCTCCTCAGCTTGAGTTCTGCGTTCTGGACTGTACATCTGATTCCAACTTGGAGGGGCAGGGCAGGGGCTCTCAAGGTGAGTGGTAGCTACCACCAAATGTCTTCCCATCCCAGCATCAATATCTGCTACACAGAGCTCTCTTCCCATTATGGAGTTTCTAAACGATTCACAGAGGAAAGATTTCACAGGTAATCTGCTCAACTGGAGGCAACAAAATAAATAATTTAAGTCACCTTCTTTTGAGACATCAGTCAACAAGCACAAATTTTTTTGAACGAAACAGTAAGAGACACAGTAGACTCCAGTGCAATGAGCATGATGTCAGTTGTTGATAAAGAGAGTGGGGGGGGAGGGGGGGGGTGCCTCGAATAGGGAAATTAAAAAGATCAAATTCATTTGTCGAAACACAAGTCAAACAGATCATGATTATCATATTCAGAATATTTACCTGCATATGGATGTCCAAATATTCTGCATATGGAAACCATATCAATAAATGGGAAGCAATAGCATATAAAATTCACAAGACCATACACCAAAAGAAGATTTTGATGGGGAGAGACTTTTTAGAAAGTTCAGAAAACTCAATAATAACATTAGAAAAGAGAAATGACTGTATCATATCAGCATAGAGAAATAATCCTAGCCCTTGCATCTTGAAAAATCAATGGAAAAAATGGCAGCAGCATGGACATAAGTTTACCGACGCAAATGTATTACGACTTATGAGAAGATTTTGTAGATTATACAAGCAAGCCCTACAAATATTTGTATCGCTTGCAGACTCACTTTGTGATAAGCTCCAGCAAAGTATGAATAAAAAAAAGGGAACCTCCTAAATCAAGTGATTACAGACATGTACATACAACCACTTGAACCAAAAGAACAAAAACTTTTGACCACTACTCCTCCAACCCAGTTTTCTCTAAACCACTGGTGTTTTCAAGGTTCCACATTCAGTAAACCATGTGTGATTTGTGAAAATATAGAAGCTACACATTCTTGTATATTCAATCATCAAAGATTCTACCACAACAATTTTTGGGTTGGTTTGTTCAGTTCTAAATTCAAACCACAAACTTCACCTCAGTATGAATGATTTGTCTCATATGACACATGTCATATTTAGCAACAAAATATAGACAAGCGAACATCCACCGTGCAAGGGCCAATGAAAACTAAACAAGACAAATTGGAAAAATTATCAGATAGATGGATCTAATACACCACAATCGTGCATACTTAACATGGAATTAAAAAATAAATAAAAAAGACGATCTCACTACCATCCTAATTGAATTTAAGCTTGGTCAATGGAACACCCCTAATCACCTGATGTCAAATTTAACGGCCACCAATGATTGTGACTCCATGTACAAAAAGTAAATGGTCTTATTGTGACTTTACATTAATTTCAATTGTTCAAATCCAAGAAAAAAAACAATGAACCAAATAATAAACATAACCAGATATAGAATCACGAGCCATAACATTTCCAGTTCCATAAAGATCATAGCCATTGCCGATGCAATGGCTATGACCATAACAAAAAAAAAAGACCAACATATCCCGGAACTGCCATGTTCAACCTGGAGTGCCAAAATGCCAAATTTGAACCAACTACATAATGACAATAGCATCCATCTTATGCGTAAAGCTACAAAGAAACTCTATTTACTCCTCTAAGAAAAGATTTCTCAGAAGAATCAAAGGTATATAAGGAACAGTTAAGCAAATGTTAGTCACCAACATCACTGCAAACTAACAAGGACTCCATTATGGTTAAACCATCCTCTTTGGATAATTCATTTGATCTAATAATAGCTATAATGTCCTGAAGTTCTTTGTAATGTTGTAAAGTTTGTCCGATTCTTTGCACAGGTTGGTAATGAGGTTGGAGCACAATTGATGTTGGATCTAAAGGATTTACTGCTAGATTAGATACCTTTGGTGATTAATCCTCTTGATAGTACGGTAGTAGCATCCAATGTCCAAAAGGAGTAGGCGACCGCCAAGGCGGTTTGGGCATTGGGCCGCCTAGGCGAGCGATCAAACCCAAAGGTGGCCTATGTTGAAGGTTGGATCCCCCACAGCTCCCCCAATTTATTGTATATGCTATGTAATAATAATTTTACAAATTGATACTACTTATTGATTTACCGATAAATTAATTACTATCAAATGCAAAGAGCATTTTCAATAAATTAATATCTTTTGGTTTACCAATAAATTAATAATTATTGTTACATGCAAAAAGCATTTTCAATAAACTAATAAATACAAATTAATATTATCTTTTGGTTTACCAATAAATTAATAATTATTGTCACATGCAACAAGCATTTTCGATAAACTAATAAGTGCGAATTAATACTATCTTTTGGTTTACAAATAAATTAATAATTACTGTCACATGCAAAAAGCATTTTCGATAAATTAATAATTACAGATTAATACTACCTTTTGTTGTATCAATAAATTAATACTTACAATTAAATGCAAAAATCATTTTTGACAAAGTAATAATTACGAATTAATTATTGTTACATGTAAAAAGCATTTTCGATAAATTAATAATCACAAATTAATACTATTTTTTTACCAATAAATTAATAATTATTGTTACATGCAAAAAGCATTTTCAATTAATTAATAATTACGAATTAATACTATTTTGCTTATCAATCAATTAACAATTACTATCACATGCAAAAAGCCTTTTCAATAAATCAATAGTTAATAATTACGAATTAATTATCATATTTTCAGGACGACGCCTAGGTCCCCCGCGATTAACACCTCCTAGGCTGCCTAAACGAGCACCTAGCAAAAGCCGCTTAGGACAAGCCACCGCCCAATCCACGACTAGACGTTTTTAAAAAAGAGTTCGCCTAGGCAGCCAGGCGGCCAACTTTTTGTTCATTAATAGCATCTAAATGTACAAATGTTTTGGCAAGAGCAGGGCTGGTATCATCCGTAGGTACATAAAATGCATGAATGGAAGTTATGGATCCCTCTTTAGAAGAAGTAATTCTTTCTTGCAAAAAACCCATTTCTGTACTAAGGTTAGGTTGATTACCCATGGCAGAAGGAAGCTGTTTAACCGGCCTAACCGGTAACCAGTCGATTTAACCGCTCTAATTGAGCAAGTCTTGAGCAGTCATAAAATTGTTGAAGAAAATAATAAAGATACAAAAAAAATCTACTAAAATATGAAAAGCATATAAAGAATGATTAAAACAAAACACACTCAAATGAAGTTGAAAATTATTGAAGAATGTGGATTTTCAAGGTACCTAGGGGTATTTTTAAAATTTTCTGAAAAATATGGGAAAATATAAAAGTGAGTATTAATGACCAAAACAATTTCTAATCTTTACCATAATGTAAAGAATATTAAAAAAAATGTAATACAAACCAAATTCTTTATTTTGATACCGATCGATCACCGAAACTGCCCGAAACCGGAACCGGCCCGTGGCTGGTTCCGATCTAACCGGGCGGTTATCGGTTAGATCGCCCGGTTTTTCCAACATGGTCTGAAACAAAAGACAGAATGGAATATATCGAATTGAGACATGGATATTCACGGTCAATAATTTTATCACCCACATGAACCAACACTTTGATTAGACCAAACCAGACACCCAATATAAATATCTTAAATATCAAAAGCAATGTTATCAAATTCGCTTCGCTTCGTCCGAAGAGGTCGAAGCCTTCGGATTTTGGGTATAAACCGAAGAGAAGCGAAGCTGGGTGCCTCCGCTTCGGTCAAATTTGGGCTACTTCGGCCAAATTCGGGCTGCTTCGGATATGATTCGGGTTTGCTTCGGCCAGCAAAGAAATAGCTATATAAAAGTATTTTAATTTTTTTATTTCCTATATTTTCTATTTTTTGTATATATTTTATATATAAATATCTAATTTATTTATATTAAATTAAAAAAGAATCTGAAGTCTTCCCCCAAATCGGCCGAAGCACCGAATTACCTCATTTTCCTCACCAAACCAAAGAACACTTTGAAGCGAATCTGACAACATTGATCAAAAGCAATCCGTGCAATCGCATGATGATCTTCCACCTCAACTGAGGTCACTGTGGGCAATAGAAGCCTGCAAATCAGCTTAACTTCACCAACATGACTGTTACCCCAAAATTTCATTTGACTCATTCTCTTGGTGTTCAACACTAGAAAACTTTAGACATGTAGTGGGATCTGATATATAGTTTGCTATACTATACTTTTGTTTATTATTATTATGTTGAACTTAAATAAATATGCTTTGAAATTTATGACATCACAGAATGAAAATGGTTTGGTGATGTGCTAGTGTCACCAAAACCACGCCTCATTTCTCCATATTCTGGATGAATGGGAACCCAAAATATGCAAATCCATTTTCTTACCTTCCAAGATCAATTTTCTAAAAGAATTGTAATTTGAAGCCCTAAAAGTGTTCCATCATGACCGCCATCTCAAAACCTGATCTGGACCTTAGATTGATCAGATTTAGGACCTGTTAGGATCTCCAAATCCATTTACTTGAGATGGAAATGGACTTGCGGGTATTTTAGTGAGTTTTTGGGTCCTCAATCCATCAAAAAGATGGAGTTTGAGGTGCAGACATTGAGCAACAGGGTGCAACCATGGCAGCAACCTCAAAGTACCCATCAGAAAATTATGGTAATCTGCAATTCTATATTTGAAGAGAGCATGCTTAAAATGCATTACAATGAGTCATAATAAGCGCTCTGTACATAATTATAAAATTTATTTATTAAAGAATATCAGAAACAACATAAAATATTACAAAAAATTCAGAAGTCACATCAATATTTTTTAATTTAAAATTCCAATATTTACAATTCATGATCATGCTCTGAAGCTTTTTTTTTTTTAGGGAAAATATCTTCAAAACAGAAAATTAGGATCATTTTCACAGCATCCCCTCCCATTCCCTAAACATCTAGCGGCATAGCATTTTATGAAAATTTTCTTCCCACCCCCTATTCTCTATTTTCCATGTTTTTTAACTTTGCACCCTTATGATTGTCCTAAACAAAAAGTCATATCCCATTCCTACCTTTTATCCTCTTTCCTCTTCCAAACTCTCTCTCGCATCCTCATCTCTCTCCATTTCCACCCACCTGTCTCTCATGCTACTAAACACATGAAGATAGATGACTAGCAGTTGAAGCCTCTCTTGACATTGAATCCGTGGACCTGTTTGCATTATTGTCGACATTGAGCACAGTGCTTCGCTCCCAGCTCTTCCTCAACTCAGGACACAAATGCTTCTTCGATTTCACCACATTTTCCTCTTGTGAAACAGACCTCCTCAGTTTACCCCTATCCAGCAGCCTCTGCATAATGCCAAGATTAGCAACCGGCTTCTCCACAGAAAAAGATCGAAGGGTGTCCTCTATCTCTCCACTCACACTTACACTCTTCCTTGCCAGCGAGAACTGATCAACAGAACAGTTACTCAAAGCAGGAAAAGAAGAAATTGATCAGCAAGCCATTGAAGATTGAGTTAAAGGACTTGCCCTTGCCTTAATTTTTGAAACAAATGGCTCTTTCTCAGACCTCTCTCAGACTTCTCTTATTCATTTTGCTTGATTGTCAATCCCCTCTCCACACTTAGAGAGACAAACTACTACTTTTCTTAGTTGTTGTTGTTTGACCTTGCCGCTAATTAGGTTATCAGACCCTCCACTACAAGAAAACAGAGGGCCTGCAACTAGATCCTCAGCATTGCCAATTGGAAAATTAAATCATTGCTCTCTTCAACAAGAGAGATGTAGGTCGAGCACAAGGAGTCAGATATCTTGAGGTACAAGCGATGGCTCTGCCATAAATTGTTACCTGAGATGGCAGGAACAATGCCAATCACTTGCAGAAGCACTGTTCTTTGTTCACCAGCAACTTTTATGCTGCTCTTCATGTGTTATAGTAGCTTTAAGAGGACACCTGGGGTTAGAGAAGCCACCCCTCATGTGCTGTAGTAGCGTGAGAGAGGGACGATGGGGACAGGGTGAGAGGGATGCGAGCATGAGAGAGAGTTTGGGGCATAACGAGAAAGAGAGAGGTTGGGCAAGAGAACGAGAGGTTGGGGGCAAAGATAGAGAGAGAGAAAGAGAGAGAGAGAGGAATGAAGGCATGAGAGAGAATTGGGGGCAGGAGAGAGAGAGGATTGGAGGTAGAGAGAGGGGATGATGGTATGAGAGGAGAAATGAGGGCATGAGAGGGGAATTGGGTGCACAGAGAGAGAGGTTGGGGGCAGAGAGAGAGAGATAGGTTGGAAGGCATGAGAGAGAGTCGGGGGGCGAGGAGAGAGAAAGAGGATTGGGGGTAGGAGAGAGAGAGGGGATGAGGGTGTGTGAGAGAGAGTAAGTTTGGAAGAGGAAAAAAATATAAATGGTAGTAATGGGATATGGCTTTTTGTCTAGGGCAATTGCAAGGGAACTAAGGTAAAAAAATGTGAGTAGAGAGACCAGGGGGTAGGAAGAAATATGTTCATAAAATGCTATGCAACTAGATATTTAGAGAATGAGAGGGTGATGGGATGCTATGAAATGGAATATTAGGGGTTATTAAGATATTTCCCTTTTTTTTATCATTACATGTAATACTATATTCATTGATTTATAACTTTCGCCATGTTGACAATATTCTAGCTACCATGTTGGACACCACCATGTCCAGGATACCAATGCCCATGTCAGTGTCCACGCAATGCAGGTGCTCATCATCACCAGAGATCCAGATTCACAAATAATTCAATCGTAGGAAATAGTTATCTTTTAAATAATACATTTCTAAGTGACATGTTCATTATATTATTATCTGGATGGTTTCAAGGTCAATATTTTACCGACCTAATCTTATTATATCGTCACTTCGCTGGATAAACTAAAAGTCAACGATGCAAGGAGTGGACAAATAAGTCAATCTCCTAGACACCTTAGCAGAATGTGCAGAAGGCCTCCTATGGATGAACTGTAAATAACATTTCGAATCAGCAACTATTGACTTTAACCTCTAGGTTATTGTACTGCATCCGTATTTCATAGGACACCTTTCCACTATTGATTGCAGTCCTGTCGATATATCTCCTACATCTAGAACAACCATAATTGACTTTTAGAGTAAGAAGTGAGAAGGACTTCCATGGAGGAAAGGGCATTGATATACATGACGTCCAGTTCTACAATGCAACCATATTGGTGTCCTAAGAACACCTATTCTCCCTCTTTACAAATGGTATGATTTATGAATCCACCTCTATTTCCACTTTTTGATATATAGGTTTTTAAGTCCCCGTTCTGATGTGTGAATATCTAGTTCTTGTTAAGCATGCCTCTTTGAATAAGGCCTCTTGCAGTTTGGACAACCTTCCCACTCATATACTTTCTTCAAGTTTCTTCTTGTACGAGAACTCGAAATCTGTGCAACTCACATGTAGTGCGTAAGCTCTTAACAACTCAAATCATCACCATCTTTAGTATAACTAACATCTCCATGTTTGAGAGAAATAATAATTTGTCTGAGTTGGAAGTCATGTCCCTATCTTTGTTCAGATAATTGCTTTGAAGTGGCTCCACTACTCCTTTACAGTGCTAATGGAGAGAAGACTATTTCCCCTTCATGGCTCTACCGGGTTTCAAGTCCATGGCAATGACAAATTCAACATGGGGCAGCCATTCCTCATGAAGGGATCCTCTGAACAGGTATATCAGAACTCAATTTGAAATAATTACACTATAAATTTTACAGCATGAACAAATGTGAATGGCTGTTCTCGCTCTACACGACTAAAACAATTTGGGGTCCAGGATCATCCAACTAACATTTAAGAGGATTTGAAAAGAACAAACATTCCAGTGGAAATTAAAGATTTTCATAATCACTTCAAATAACATAAACTTTTCTTCCAATTGAAAAAAATTAACAAAATGAGCAGGTCCAAACAGATTGATTTATTTGTCTTTTTTGGTGCAGTACTGTATCGCTAGATCAAGGCACATCAATTAAATAATAATCAATGTGCTCAGAAACTAAAACCCATGGACCTTCAAAATCATGATCATAAGCAGCTGGAATATGTAAAAAGCCTTAAAATTTCCCCCGAGTCCTGGTTTAATAAGCCTGATCCTCATACTGGGAGTAAGCCCACTGAATAGTGAATAGTCATAACTGGTATATGCAAACAACCATGTAGATGAAATGAAAAAATAACCCTACACTCTGACAAACAAGAACAACATGTACAAAAGATCAAAGGGCATGTACAGTGACAATATTATCATTAGGTACAATTATATGAAGATGTTAGCTTAAAGATAGAAGTGGTCATATTTCGATGGGACTGGCAACAAAAACATTCAAAAATTAAAACATATTTTGCTTGCTGAGAACGTCAGCACAAAATGCCCATCCAAAAGCTTTTCTTTTATAAACAGGACTAGTAGTACATCCTGAAGACAGTTCAAGAAGTGACCGACCTGCATACAGAAGTAAGGCCTTTCAGCAGCCAACTCATTTGAAACTGAGCATTGATACTTTTGCCACCACATGGACTGCTGAAAAATATGATAGATATTTGGTGTGACCTCCTGTCCAGTCAAAGCATATTTTTAAAATAAACAAACGTCGGTACACATAACTTTGGTTGACGAATACAGAGAAAGCAAGAAAAGAAATGTACCTGTAAACAAATGACATCTGGATCATATTCTCGAATAATGTCACCTATTGCGTTCATCCTCTCAATAAGTTTCAGGTCTTCCCGAAACCAAACGTTGTAAGTCAACATAACAAATGTGTTTGACTCTTCAGAACCTTCATGAGCAGCCATGGAACGAGGTATTGCATCACTTAGAAAGCTTAAAGGACTTTCAAAAGAAAACAACATTGATGAGTATCCAAAGAAGAATAAGATGTACAGGACTTGACCGGAGAGCATCACAATAAAAAAGCCTCGCACAGTCCACATCCAAGTGTGGCATCCAAAAAAGTATACTCTTTGTTTCTCAAATTACTTTGATACTATCCTGTAAAGAGTGTGCTGCAGCAAATCACGAATCTTGTGGATTCCAGTACTTTTGAGGTCGATAAAAAGCGCAATAAAAGCAAAATATGTCATCACCACCCAGGCATAGGCCTAGGTACCAAATGGTACTTCATATTAGCTAAACATTTCCCCAAGCCTAAATAAAATAGGGAAAGAGAGGAAGATAGAAAGGTTTAGCCAAAACTGGGCTTTCAACACGTTCTTAGACTAGCAAAATTCAACTTTAACCAAACCCTTTTCTAAGTATTTAACAAGTTTTTAAAATAAAAATGTTGTCAGTAATGAGGGTGTTGGGTGAAATGAATCAGGCCTTGAGGATGCCTCAAAGACCTCGATTCAAGCCCATTTAACATGGGAGATCGGCCCTAATAAATACCAATTCAAATAATGATTCCAATAAGAAATGATAAATGCAAACAATTGGCAAAACTCAATGCAAAATACCATGCGTAATCCTGCAAAAGAAAATTGCAAAAAGCAAGGGCCTCAAAATTGTGCCTCTAAGAGTTTGGATTGCATCAAGTGAATCATGCAAAAGAATATCATGCAGAAAAATATCAACCTTTTTTTAGTATAAAAGAAAGATCCAATTGTTGATAATGCACTAAGGGCCTCAAAATTGGTGGACCAAGTCACCGCAGAGCCTTATACCATAATTCACACAGCACAAGCCAAATCCAAGGAAGGCCATCTACATTTTTGACATCAGATGCAGTGGTGATCCTTTACGTGTGTGAGTTCTAGGGAGGGTGACAAGGTTATGATTGGGAGACAAAGAGATATAGAGCATTAAATAGGATGCTATAGATGAAATGGGCATGGGTGTATATGCCTAGTAAAGGGTTCAAAGGTGTAGGCTACACATTCCAGAGAGAAACTAGAAGACTAAGGGGCAGCTCTAAAAAGGAATGGTAAATGCTCATGCAGTAGTAAGCATGAAGGGATTGTGCCTCTAGCATTTCGATTGCATCTAGTGAGGGTAATTATTAGGTTGCTTGGTGAGAGAAAGAAGCAACATGGCTATGGTACTTGGAGAGAGAGGTATAGCTGGTGGTTTTTCTAAACGAGAAGATACGAGTGTAGGTCTCAAGAAAGAATTCAAAGTTCCTCCTAAGTAGGGGTGGCAACGGTCGAGTCAGGTCTAGGTTGAAACTCTAGAAAGACATACGACAAATATTTCTCGAATTGAGTATGCAAGAGTAATTGGTAGTTTGATGTATACAATGTATTGTAGAAGGTCGGTATTGCATACCACTAAATCGAATTTGGTCCATGAATCTAAGAAATAGTGAGCAGTGGGTAAGTAAATATACAAGTTACCCAAGTAGAGAGCATTGGAATGCAATCTCTCGAGTTTTGAGATTATCTCAAAGGAACTATCAATTTTGGCATAGATTATTCCAGTTATCCCAAATGTTGGAAGGACATAGTGATGCGAGTTGGAGCACGGACTCAAACAGTTACTATCCACAACATGATCATCATCCGAGACTTATCCCAACTATTTAAGGTCGGCTAAAGACTCACCATCCACATCTAGATGGGTATTTACCTTAGGTGGTGGAGTTGAATCATGGGGCTTAAAGAAACAAATGTAAATTTCTCAGTCCACTATGGAATCAAAGTTCATTACACTAGATTATGGTTGTGAAGAAGCGGAATGGTTAAAAAGTATCCATGGAATTCCATATTGGCCCAAACCAATATCCACGATCACAAATAATTGCGATAAACGTGCCACAGTTGCTCAAGAAAATAATTATGTATATAACGACAAATCTAAACATATTGCGTCCAAACATGGATCCATCCAAATGTTGATGAAAGATGGAGCGGTAAATCTAGAATTTGGGAGGTCAAAGGAAAATTTGGCCAATCCTTTGAAAAAAGGCCTTGCAAAGGGAAGACACCACCCAGATGTCAAGAATGGGGCTAGAATCCATAGAGTAACAATCAACAATGGGAACACAATCTAGGCCTTTTGTTACCTCAAGAGTCGAAATTCAATGTGGTAAAAACAAGTCGTTCGTATGGTTAGTTGGATCACTAGAAATGTTTAAACAATTTATCAGCACCCATTTTAGAAAGATCCATACAGTAGACAAGTCCAGTGATGACCTCCATGAGAAAAGGTTGAGCTATGCTCTTAATGGAACAGTTAAGGTGTTCTTGATAGATTTACCTATATGGGTGTGGAGGTGAGGCCGCTTCCTATAAGATTGGACTTAGCTCTAGAGTACTTATAAAAATCAGGACACAAGCTCAAGGCCCATAACAAGCAAGCAGTATAAAGATACACTGGAGTGTATGTCACTTGCGTGTTGTACTACCAATATTGTTAGATAAGATCCTCGGTTCAAAGCTATGTGATACCATGGAGCTCGATGTACTTTGTAGTGCTTACACTAAGTGGAGTTTCAAATCAAAAGATACCTTCATGACGTGGGAATGACATATGTTGCCTAGAGTTTTCATATTATTTTGAAATAGAGGAGGAAATTGTTGTATTTTGCTATGGAAAATACCATGTGTTATGTCAAATAATATCTCCTTTGAAACATGGTGGTTTGGAAAGTGTAGTATTCTTGAAAGTATGTTTTGTTGTATTTGCAGAGAGAGAAGTAGTTGGTTATTTATCTCACATTGAAGATGTGGATGAGGGAAGTCTTGCTTAAATATGAATTTATCTTCTTCACTTGTGTTCTAGGAACTAAAGGGAGATAAAGCCTATCTGGAGCATGCATAGCGTGTGAATGCACATGCACATGCACGTGTGCGAGGCACAAGGATGCTTGATGGTACACTTGGCACTTCTTATGCTCGGATCGATGCAAGAGGCGCGAGCACAAGTGTGTAGGTTAGGCATGTGGCTCGATTTCTTTTTATCACAACACGAAAAGCCACCAGTTGATCTTAGGGCCATTCCAAAAAACTGTTCACCACAGGTGAAGATGCACAGATCCAGTGGATTGGTGCACTCCGGTGTTTTATCGGTTCTAGCAGATTGATGCAATCCAGTTATTTGAGCATACCAGTGCATGCGTGTGGCTCCAGTAGATTGGGGTGCTCCTGTACTTGTGTTCCACAGGTGAAGATGTGTACATAGAGCGTGACAGTTGGTCTTCCAGAGCACGAAGAGACATTGTTTGACTGGTGGCTTCCTCGAACCCAAAGAGACATGCGTAATTGTTGGCTATCATGTTGCCTGTGAGTTGCAACAGATAAACTGTTTTGACGATTGAGATTTCGAGAGATGCAATTCTTGAACTAATGTGTACTTGAATAGTCAGGCGGAGTAGGTGAAAAGACTCTCATTATAAATGGGAACTTGTATACTCCAATTTGTACATACGATTTTTTTTACTTCCAAAGTCTTTGTGAAAACTTTCTCTCTTTAGAAAGAGGCCAATCTGGCGCTCTAGCTCTCGCAATACTTGTGCATTTGTCTTGATGAGATAGTTTTTCACAATCTTCTACTCCCAGTATCCCGAGGAAAAATTTGCTTATCAAACGTAGATGCACATAGATTCTTATCAATAAGGGGCAAAGATTGTCTTGAGAACCATCTATCGCGCCTAGGATCATAGAGATTGAAACTTCTTTTACTCTTTCATCTTTTATTTTGCTCAATTTCAACCTCCGTTTCCAACGTGTTCCATTCGAAATGAATAAATCATTAAATGCGTCAGGATTTCCAGCCGCCACCTCCTCGAAATCTGCAACCCACTCAACCAATCATCAATACAACTCCTTAAAGACTGCCAATTAAGCTACCCCTTGTGGTGCTATGTAAGATGACTCACCTCTTTCCAACCGTCGCACGTGTCACAAGGACAATGATCCACAGGTGTGGCTTTTAATGCGGAGGTAGTCCCCACAGGCAACTCATCTTCCCAGGGAGACTATTATCACTGTAATCTCCCCCTAACAAGTTCACACTAATGGCACACTGCACTCAGTTACCACGTTACCCTTGCCTCCCCGAAAAGTTAGTACTGCTACTCCATCCCTAAATCGAGTGCTCTCAGCCTTGACAACATATGAGATGCATGCCCATGTTAGTGACCACTCTGCTGCATGATAGGCTATCCTCAAACACCCCATTCCCTCTCAAACCATGGGTGCTTTCCTCAAACCAAGATGTGCGACACATTACTGTCCCTATAGTTGCTTGAATCGCCCATTGGGGTAGTGATTCCGTTTCGGATCGCGATTCCTCGTTTTTCAGGACGAAACTTGATTCTAAAAGAAATGAATCACGTTCCAAGTTTCTCGAAATGCAATTCAAATAAGTTTAGGAATCTCGATTCCTGGAAGCCTAGAATCAAGATTCCATATCCCAAACTTTGTGAATCTTAGGTACACAACAATGCGATTCTGCTTGTGCGAAACGTTGATTCCAAATTTTTAAGAATTGCGAATTCATGTTGCTTGGAATCAAGATTCTATAGCTACACAACAATGCGATTCTACTCGTGCGAAACGTTGATGCCAAATTTTTAGGAATTGTGAATCTAAAGTCGTTGCACACGGCATTAGAATCAAAGTTTTAAATATGGGAAACATGTGAAATTTTTTTATTTCTTGTTTTCAAATTTCTATTCTTGTATTCAAATTCTATTTTACTTTTTAACGACTCTAGCCAAGTATAAATATTACTAAAAAAAATTTGTAACTTCAAGTTCAATATTTTTTGGTAAATGATGTGGGTATTAATGTAATCGTGTTTAATATATGATGGGTACCAACATATGCTACCACTGCTTTT